GCAGGAAGGAGAGATGTGGTTTATGGGCACCCCAAATCTGGGCCTTTACACTCAATGAAAGCCCAGAGTAAATATCAGCTTTATTCCTCTTAAATAGCCTCACAGACTGTAAATGCTGATGGCTTTGAAGGCCAGGAGGTGGAAGGAAAATGTGGAGATGTGTGAAGGGAGAGAGACTGTAGCTTTTATTTAGAGATTAAATAACAGTCGTGAGCATTTGTGTTAAAATCATCAGGAAAAGAGTTCTGATTTATTTTTAGACCAGAGAGAATGAAGTGAGATGATCAAACTTTAGCATGCTACTCGTTTCCGCGGACTCCCTGTGACTGGGTGTAATCATACCGTATGAAACCACAGCTCCATCACCTCCACTCAGAGCTGTGATTTGACCCAGAGCTGAATGTCACGCATCATAAAGTAGATGAGGGAGCGGGGGGTGGGGGTGGGGTGGGGGGGGTGGGGGGTGTCTCTGTGAAAGTGAGTTGACATGAATGTGATCACGTGGAAGCAGGAGTGTTGTGGACCTGAACCTGCCCACTGGAAAAGTCCTCAGTCATCAAGGTGTATTTTGGTCTCCAGAGGTTTGTTTGTTTGTTCTTGATTCTTTTGTTCTTTATTTCTTTAGAACGGAGCAGGATGTGTTGCTTTTTGAGATCGTTTAGCCTTTTCACGATGTGGTTCCACAGAAGTCATTTCTTAATTCTACTTTTTGGCAGTAATCTGATTTATTTCTGTAAAGCTCAAGTTCACGGAGAAACCGGTTTTTACTTGTTATTTTTAAAATATGATTGGTTCACATGCCTGCTAAACGTGAAAATAGTCTTCTACCCCATTAGCCGCAGAAAAGATTGATGAGGAAACACTCGGGTCAGAAAAAGCCAGTCACCTCTACCTTACACAGTAAATTAACATCGATGGACTCAAACATCTTGGCTTGTGACGGAGAAAGCTGTTGTTTAGCCTCCACGTCTTGGCTAGCAGAAGCTAACCATTAGCATTAGCAACTCCACGACATGGCAGAACTCCTTCAGGCTTGTGGTGTTCGAGGTGATAAAATATCAATGTTGCAGAAAGAATGGAGGCAGCGGAAGAGTTCCGTTGCTGTTAGCCAATCAGAGGCAAGATGTCCAAGTATCATGAATAATTAAATAAATATTCGGCTAAATTTACTTCCTGGAACAGGAGCACCAGAACTTTCTTTCACAATGACTCACGAGGCATTCATTAGTAATAGAGACCACATCAAATGTATCTAAAAAACGAGTGAATGAGAGCTTTAATTATTGTATTAATCATTTGAAAACTGCATTTTTTTACATACCTAAGTCATGTTAAATGTACGTATTGATCTAAAACATTTATTTCTGATAAAAAGAACAAGAATAGAAGAAATCTGTAATTAGAGAAACACCTTTTTACAGTGTTGAACACTATTCCAGTATTGTATATGAACAATAAAGTCTTTCCATAGTCCCTAGCTGTGGTATTTCACTCCAGCATTGCGTCACTTTTTGCGTCGGTGCAGGTTCTAATCAGGTCAGCCAAGTTTCTCAGCCAGTTGGGTTCGCCCTTTTTTCTTCTGTCGCTGGATGTTTCCTGTATATAAACACTAAACGCACTGAAACTCGTCCACACAATGAAAGTCAGGTGGAGTTTTTGTTTAAATAATTCCAAGGAAACCAGTGATTTTCTATAACTAAGATCCAGGAGCCGACTATTGCCTGGGTTGTGAGTGTGGAGTCCCCTCTGCAGTTGTTGATGCTGGAAGGTCAGTCGGTCCACATGGGAGGCCGGGCAAACACGACTCGACCCTACATTTACACACGTCTGTCAGTGGCAGCGCCGGGGGGCGCTAGGGGGCGCTATAGCTACCCCTGGATTAGTCATTGCACCCTCATAGCACCCCAAGTAAATATTAGATTTATTTTTTTTTACAATTTAATTTTAATTTAACGTGTGGATGTGATAATATTTAACATACAAAACAAAACGAATCAGTAAATTATCATACAGATAGTAAAAACCTAAACCAAAACAGGAAATTGATGTTAACCTTTGACCTCATTTTCCACCTGCGAACGAGTGAAAGGTAGAGCTAGTGGTAAAATGGATCGGTTTTTGTTGCCCAAATTTCCACAGATTCAGTCAGAAATGAATGAATCTTTGGAAGTGATCTCAGATCCACAAAAACCTACGGATCTGGATGAAGAGAGTCAACCCTCAACCGCCGCAGCCGTCCAGGGTTTTGCCGCTGAAAATGCTAACACTAACGTTAGCTAACCTTGCAACACTATAGATGGTTTTCTGTGTGGCTGTATGTGTTTATGATTTCATGGACAAGTCAGCGATTGTTCATATGTTTATGATGTATATCAATGATTGTTTCAGGTGTTGTTGAGGTTTTGTGCACGCATGTGTATCTGCTAGTGTTGAAGTTGTTTTAGAGAACAATAGGTACGCATGACCACTTCCTTCATAACACCCTCAATAAAAAGACTAGCTCCTTCATAGCACCTGCAGAAAAAAATTTCTGGAGCTGCCACTGACGTCTGTGTCTAAATACTCACAGTAAACTTTATATTTCCCCATTAGCAGCAAACTGCACTTCCTCTTTGAGAGGAAGGAGCCGTAAACTAGGGAAACACCTGATAGTATCCGTTGGTTGCAGCAGGCCTTTTGACCTCTCTGCTGTGCTCCGTCTCACATTTAGTTTCCTTTCTGACAGAATTAACCCGTCTAATCTGGTGACTTTCATTTTTCAGCTGTAAGGTAATATTGTTTTGAGTGCTGTATTTTGTCTCTTTCAGTCTGAGACAATAATTCCAGCTTTCTCTCCATGCTTCTATTTTTTTTTATATTTCTCTTAGAATATTTGAGACGAGTGCAGCTAGAACACATGGATCTGGGTGGTGCGGTCAGCGTGTCTGCTAAAAATCAAATTAAATGTGATGATGAAATCTGAATGCAAGCCGCTTTGGTGAATTCAGATAAGTCTTTAATGAGTAGCTGAGTGGCCGCTCGGCTCACTGGTGTGTGTTCCTACGAGTGTGTGTGTTTGTTCTGGAAGTGCCACTTGTAATGAATGATAGGCACAGAGATGTAAGGAACCCAAATCAATGACCCTTACATAAGTGAAGCATGTTTGTTGACTCTGTCTGTCTGTGAGCGTGTCTCCCTCCACCTCCAGCTGACCAAACAGGCCGGTGAGTCGCTGAGGTGAGACGCTGGGTGGCTCTGACTGAGTGACAAATCTCAGACAGCTCTCTGACTCATGCTTTCTCTGACGGACACAAGGAGAAAAAAAATCACTGGAAAAAATCTGAACTGCCAGTGGTGTGTATGGACAGTTAATAGATTAATTACTGGTTTTTATTTTGCATCATTGTCTACAGTGAAGTAAATGGATAATGGATGACAGCTGCACATGGGGTCAGAGCTGTTATTAGGATTTAAATATTAAATAAATGATCACTATGATCAGCAGCTGGTCACAAATAACAAGTAGCAGGAAAGAGGGAGTTTCTAAAGTATCCACAAAGTTTCTTTGTGTCCGTGCACGGCTCTCGAGTGATACGGGGGGGGGTTCCAACTACAGAGGGATCACACTCCTGAACCTCACTGGTAAGGTCTACTCAGGGGTTCAGGAGAGGAGGGTCCGTTGGATTGTCGAACCCTGGATTCAGGAGGAGCAATGCGGTTTTTGTCGTGGTCATGGAACACTAGACCAGCTCTATACTGTCCCAGGGGGTCCTGGAGGGAAGACTGGGCTTCCCTGCTTATGCCTTAGGCTACTGTCCCCGCGACCCGACCCTAGATAAACAGCCGAAAATAGATGGATGGAAATATTTATATTAATAAAGTAACTTAAAGTGAAAAACATTGACAGAATTTTTCCCAAAACAATTTTAAATGTGTGTTCATGCTGGGAAGACTTTTCAGTTTCTTGATTTTGATGATATTTTATGTAAATCATAGGACTCGTTTAGTGAGGCCAAGGCCGTAAGTACCATCTTTACCGTCTAAAATCTTTATAAAACCCCAGCAGTTGATTTGAATATTGCCTAATAAATCTTTTATCACTTTCAGTTTCATAAACATTATATTTCTGCTCAGCACTGGCTCTTGACTTATGAAATAGATTGTTGCATAAACAAAAATGAAATTCTCATAACTGTTACTAGCCGTTAGCTCATCAGTCTGTTCCCTTCAGTTCTCTAAACTGAGGTAATTGAAATCTAAATACTAATTAAGTTTCCACAGAAACAAACATAAAAAAGCCTGATGTGTTTCTTTAAGTTGGACTAATTTCTGCAGAATTGATGAACTAAGTGTCAAAAACAAAATCAAAACAATTAAATCAGTGAGTCAAGACACAGAAAGTGAGCAAAACAACAAGCCCTTTGGTGGAAAGTCTGCGTCACCATCTTGACTTCAGCATGGCGACCAGCGCCAGCAATGACCTCTTCAGCTTTAAACGCCAAACCTGTACCTGTCTGCAGAGTGGAACCACAGCAGAGACCATAAACCCACTGTCTCAACACTTGTGCTCATGCCAAGTCATATCTGACACGGGAAAATTTAATTAGGCCCACGCTCGGATGCATTATCCTGCAGATGCAGCACGTTCAGAGCAGCAACAGCTGTAATGAGCACTTGTGCTTTGGTTTCCGCCCTCCCATGCCTCTCCACCCAGAGCATTACATGAGTCGGCTCATGTTTTTCTACTGCTTTCAGGTTCAGAGTGTAATGTTTGTCTTCAGTCTATTTAATTGTGAAGTTTTACATCATCATTTACCGAAGGAGGGGGTTGCTGTTTTACTGTCATCATGCAGTGACAGCCACTTCATGCAGAGCAAAAACAAAACTCTCATTACCTAATGCCACTTTAAAATGTGACTAAAACGGTTTCGTCTGTGTTCGTGCTACTTCACCGATGGATGCTGGTACAGAAGAGTTCAAGAAACTTGAGTTTTGATGGAGTTTTCACTCTCTTGTTGCAGATTATAATAGCAGCGATCAGAAGACGGCGTGCAGAAGACACGAGCTATACGTTAGCTTCAGAGAGCTGGGCTGGCAGGTATTTAACGTCTTAATCCTGATACTGAATGCATTTTGTATGCTGACAAGGTCATCGTGCTCCTCACAATCTTAGTTTGGACTTCGTTTAACTCTTATCAGCATTTACTGACAGCTAGAAATTACAAGTTGGACAAGTTTAGAGGCCAAGGGATGTTTTTCAGGTTAGAATTTGAAATATTATGAAAAAACTGGAGATAAATGTTAACATAATAGAACTAATAATGAAATAATAACCTCCCCTTTTCACTATTATTAATGTAAAACTCTAGCATGGCTGCGCATGTTCAGATGAAATAAATGGGTTGGTAGCACTGTTGCCTTGCAACTAGAAAGTTGCAGGTTCAAATCCTTTGGGTTTTCTCCAGGTACTCTGGCTTTTTTATAGAGGCCATAAAAAGCATGCATGTTAGATTTGACACCTAATTGTCCCTAGGTGTGAGTGTGTGAATGGTTTTATGTCTCTGGGTTAGAGGGTCCAGAAAATGGGTCAGACGTGATTTCAGACCCTCTAAAATTTTAAATTTTTATGTTTCATTTTTACACAAATTTGGTTTTTCTGCTTTTTTTCTCATCAGAAATGTCAATTTTGTATGAATTTATCTTAAAGGAGACAATATGACTTTTTAAAGAATAAATAATAGTTCTGTGGTCAAGAAAAAACATGTTTACAATGTTTTTGCAACAAATCCCTCCCACATGAAGCAATTTTAGCAGTTGTATTCTCCACGTTTTCAGTACCTTCCAAAATGAGCCATATCAGGGCTCTGTCTTTTTAAGAAGACACGCTGGAGCTGGACAAACCCACTCATCCCCCATTCAGGCTGCTATAAGCTAAGAAGCTCCAATGTCCAGCATGAGCTTGGAGTAGAGCCACTACTTCTCCAGCAGCAGCTCTCTCTTGCATGTGAGAGGTGGTTCTGTTCTAAAAGCTTCCCGGTTGTGACATCACAAACAGGGAAAAGTCTTGTTTTAGGCACAAAATCCCAAAAACCAAACACTGACAGAAAACAGTGAAACATTTCTTACTCAGACACATTTAAACAGCTAGATTTGAACTTTCCGGAACTTCGCTGCTCTGGGTGGCTGCATGTTGGAGTAGCTCTGTTGACTATATGTAAGTTTAGCCTTTTTTTGGACATTTTTTCTTCTAGTTTCTCAAGAAATTTTTTTTATTTTTTTGACATTTTACTTTTCTGTTTCTGGTGCTGTGAAGCTTAGAGGATTTTTACTGCTATTTTTTCACTTTTTGAGCATTTGTTATGATGCGTAACCATGGCAACAAGCTGGTTTACAATCGGAAGCAGCTGATTAACATTGGAAAGGCTAAAATAATACATCAACTTAAGCCACAAATCCCAAATGAGCTAAAACGCAAGAAGCGTGGGTGCAGAGCGGGAGGAAAACAGAGACAGAGAAAGAGGAAATTCAAACCATCTCTTCCATCGATCATAATGGGCAATGTGAGATCACTGGCCAACAAGATGGATGAACTCCAAGCTCTTTCAAGGACTCAGCCCGAGTATCGGCAGTGCAGTGTTATGTGTTTCACTGAGACGTGGCTGCAGGACCATATCCCGATTCCAGCGCCTCTCTGCCAGGATTCCTGACTGTACGAGCAGACAGAGATCTGAAAAGGAATGGGAAAAGAGAAGGAGGTGGAGTGGCAACAACAGATGGTGCCTTCCAGGTCATGTTTCAGTGAAATGTCGTCTCTGCAGCCCAGATGTTGAACTCTTGGCAGTAAGTTGTCGCCCATATTATTTGCCAAGAGAGTTCACCAGTGTTGTCTTGGCAACTGTTTATATTCCACCTTCAGCCATTGCTGAAAGTGCATGTGATGCCATCAGTTCCGTTGTCGCTAAGCTTCAAACCCAGCAACCCAATGCATTTGTGGCTATATCTGGTGATTTTAATCATGCCTCGCTCTCTGCTACACTCCCAACATTTCATCCGTTTGTCAGCTGCTCCACCAGAGAAAACAAGACATTGGATTTGTGTTAGGCAAATGTAAAGAGTGCATACATGTCCAAAACTAGGCCTCCTCTGGGACAATCAGATCACAATCTTGTTTTTCTCTGCTCAGAATACAAACCACTTGTTCAGAGGCAACCTGTGACAAGAACTGTGAGAAAATGGTCACGGCATGCTGAAGAAGCCCTGCAGGGTTGTTTTGGGACCACAGATTGGATGACTCTCCGCCAAGGATATGAAGAGGACATCAATGCCATGACTGGATGTGTCACTGACTATATAAACTTCTGTGTGGACAGCATCATACCCACCAGAACAGTGAGATGCTTCGCTAATAACAAACCCTGGATCACCAGTGAACTTAAGAATCTGCTAAATGAGGAAAAAAGAGCCTTCAAGGAGGGAGACAGGGAATTATTGAGGAGTAAACAGAAGCAACTGAAGATCAAGATCAGAGACAGCAAGGAGGCATACAGGAAGAAGCTGGAGAAGAAACTACAGAGGAGCAATGTCAGAGATGTCTGGTCAGGGACGAAGAAGATCACAGGCTTCAAGCAGCGGAAGGATTGCACAGATGGCAGCCTGGACACAGCCAATGAATTGAACACATTCTTCAATAGGTTCAGTTCAGGAACAAACCCAGCATCCTCCTCGCCTGTCCCCTGCCAATCAGACATCCCATCCACCTCTGATCCAACATTTTCCTGTCACATGCCAGCTCTTTTGTCCTCTAACACAGTCATGGACTCTTCTGGTTCTATAAATCTGTCTTCAACCAAGTCAGGAGATGCTGCTGCCCCATTTACCTCCCCCTCCCACCTATCTGTCTCTAGAAGTAAGGTGAAGAGGCAGCTGGAGAGACTGAACAGGAACAAGGCTGCAGATCCAGATGGTGTCAGTCCCAGAGTACTGAAGGCCTGTGCAGAGCAGCTCTGTGTGATTCTGCAGCACCTCCTCAACCTCTGCCTGGCCCAGGAGAAGGTTCCAGTCCTGTGGAAGACATCCTGCCTTGTTTCAGTTCCAAAGAAAACTCGCCCATCAGTCAGTGACGACTACAGACCGGTTGCCCTGACATCCCACATCATGAAGGTCCAGGAGAGACTCCTGTTGGCCCACCTGAATAAGCAAACTAGGACATATCAGGACCCGCTGCAGTTTGCTTATCATCATGGAGTTGGAGTTGAAGATGCCATCATCCAGCTTCTTCAACCAACCCACTGTCATCTGGACAAAGCAGGCAGCACTGTGAGGGTCATGTTCTTTGATTTTTCCAGTGCATTTAACACAATCCAGCCAGATGTACTTTGCCAGAAACTCCAGAAGACACAGGTGGGGGCCTCAACTATCGCCTGGATTAAAGACTACCTGACAAACAGACCACAGTTTGTGAGGCTGAAGAACTGCACATCAAACCAGGCGATCAGTAACATTGGAGCACCACAGGGGACTGCACTCTCATAATTTCTTTTCACCCTGTACACCTCAGACTTCCAGCTCAGTGGTCTAGTGGTAGAGTGTCCGCCCTGAGACTGGGAGATCAGGGTTCGATTCCTGGTCGGGTCATACCAAAGACTTTGAAAAAATGGGACCTAATGCCTCCCTGCTTGACACTCAGCATTAAGGGGTTGGATTGGGGGGTTAAACCACCAAATGGTTCCTGAGCGCGGCTGTGTCTGCAGCTCACCGCTCCCCCAGGGGATGGGTCAAATGCGGAGAACAAATTTCGCACACACATCAGTGTGTGTGACAACTAATGGGACTTTAACTTTAACTTTAACTTTACAAATCAGAGACTTGTCATCTACAGAAATACTCAGATGATTCTGCAGTTGTTGGGTGTATCAGAGATGGACAGGAAGCTGAGTACAGAGAGCTGGTGGAGTGCTTTGTGGCATGGTGTGGAAACAATCATCTGACCTTGAACGTGAACAAAACAAAGGAGATGATTTTAGACTTCAGAAGAAACAGGGTGGAGTCAAACACTGTTTCCATCATGGGAGATGAAGTGGAGGTGGTTGAGGAATACAAATACCTTGGAGTTCACTTGGACAACAGACTGGACTGGAGAAAGAACAGCGAAGCCGTTTACAAGAAGGGACACTGCAGACTGCACTTCTTGAGGACGCTTAGGTCCTTCAATGTCTGTAGCAAGATGCTGCACATCTTCTACAAGTCTGTTGTTGAGAGTGTAATCTCTTCAGCCATCATCTGTTGGGGTATTAGCATCAGAAGCAGGGACCTGAAAAGGCTCAACAGCCTAATAAAAAAGGCTGGTTCTGTTCTGGGGAAGACTGTGGAACCACTGGAGGAGAAAATGCAAAGAAGGATTCTCTAGGGAATCAAGAAAATTATGGACAACTCTGAGCATTCTCTTCACAAGACTGTCCGACAACGGAAGAGTGTCTTCAGTCAGAGGCTTCCTCAGTTTCGCTGCAACACTGACCGCTACTGGAGATCCTTCCTGCCAACAGCCATTGTAATATACAATAACTCTTTGATGACTTGATTATTATTATTATTCTGAGCTACTACAGCAATCAATTTCCCTCTGGGATTAATAAAGTATTTTTGAATTGAATTTGAATTGAATTTCTCATTTCAGTTCTCTAGTATTTACAGACTGACCCAGGCATGGTCATAGTTTTTGGAGGCGACAGGGAGGTGAGACAGGCTGAATAAGTGTCTGGAGTCCTGTGAGACAGAAATGTGACACACCACAGATTAATGAAAGAAAACAAGGAAGCATCTGCAACTTTTAACCCTCTGGAGGCAGGCGTTGCAGATTTGCAACAGTTAAAACCTACCTACCTGGTTACTTCACATACGTATTTCATGAGCATTTTTTAACTCAGAAGTACCCCTGAAGGACTTAGTTGTTCGTCCTTTTATCAAAACTTATTTTGAGCCTGAGAGGGTTAAAGAGATTAAAGACAAAAGGATCACCTTGTTGAATATGTTTGGATTAATCAACAGGCGTCTTTTCTTTAGCTGCCAATCAGTAATGAAGGACCTTTGTTCAGGTGATGCTTCATGACTAAAATACTGGGAACACACAGGAACTTCCACACACACGTTGGATCTAAACACCACAGACAGGAATAATAAGGAGCCTTATAACCCACTGGGAATGTCAGAAAAGCTGCCTCAATAACTCTGAGCACCAGTCATTATTTCAACAAAAGGTTACTGTAATGAAGTTTTCCCAGGTGAACATTTCTCCCACTCCAGAAAGAGCTTCCAATTAGAGAAGAGCCTGAAGCTGCAGAGGGATGGTTTTAGTTAAACTCTGTGGAACACCCTGCTGTCCCCCCGAAGCCCGAAGAGAAACAGCTCAAACTGTCTGGTCTGAGTTAAATATGACAAAGAGTTATAAAATAGGAGATGTAAATGTTAGATGCATTCAAAAAAGTCAGGGAAATAACATCTTATTAGTGTTAGTTTCGTAAGGGGGGGGGGGGGGGGGTGTCTGCTCACGTAAACACCACTATCACAAGGTGATAAGAAACTAATTCAAACAAGAGCTGATGAAACTGACAGGAGCGTCCCACACGGCTGAGTGAGAAGAGATTCAGATCATCAGGCTGCAGGTGAGAGAGGGAAATGGGCAGAGTTCAGCTCATCTCTCACACAAGCCGTTAACACAGCACTGACACCTAGAGGCAAACCGCCAGCAGACTCTCAAAACCTCTGGATTTGAGGAGAGAACCAATTCTGTACGTTTAGACATGAGTAGCAGATGAAAACATCAGAATGAGGGGAAACAAGCAGGTCAGAGGTAAACAGACATAGAAAGGAAGGAAGGATGAGAGAAGTATGACTTCCCTGAGTGATACGGCAGATGTCATTGTCCTCAGAGACTCCAGTGGTCTACTCTAGGACACGAATGCCAAAGTTATTTTTAGCAATTTTTTATAACAAATGACTCGGACCAAATAGAAAAAAACAGTTGGATTTCTGCTCAGTGCAGAGCTTTGTTCTAGATGCTACATGTACATCAGAATTCTCCTCACATGCAGTCTGACTCTTGTGTCTCTCTAAGGACTGGATCATTGCACCTGAAGGCTACGCGGCCAACTACTGTGATGGAGAGTGCTCCTTCCCTCTGAACGCCCACATGAATGCCACCAACCACGCCATTGTGCAGACCCTGGTACGACTAACTCACCGCATTTAGTTTAAAATATCCCTAAACAATAAGAGCAACACTAAATATGTTTCTCACTTCTCCTTCCTACTGGTTGAAAACAGAACTACAACAGTTGTAAACAACCCTGCGGCAGCCTGCTGTAGCTAGCGCTAACAATGAGCTTACACGAACGCAAGCTAACTGATACAAAATAAGTCACAAAGTAAAAAGATCCACACTGCTGGACAAAAAATATTAATACTTACAAGTCCCGTAGCAATAAAGCTAGGTCACCATCAGTCTGTAATTTTGTAGCCTTTAGCTCGTTCAAACTCCCGCACCCTGGTTTTAGTTTTGATTATGTTTACTTCCAGGCTCCATTATGATGCAAACAAAAAAAGCAAAATTCTTCTGCTTGTGCTTTTTATTGACAGTTGACAAACAGAAAAGGCAAACTGCTAGCTTTTATATTAGCTACCAGCACAGTAAATGGCTAATGTCGTAAAGCAGGTAGAGACCTCCCACTAGTGTTCCTCCCCAAACCACAAAAATGTTAAGTTCAGTTTCTGGTCAGTAGAAGGCAGCTGTCATCAAGTTTCTGACTCAAGATCACTGAAACCAGTTTGAAAGCAATAGCTTAAAGTGTTAAAAACTCTTTAGTGTTGCTTTAAGAAAACAACCCTAATAGGGCAAGAAATGTTTCTTGATATGATTAGAAAAGCATGATGGGAAATGTAGAAGTAGGAATCCGGATGCATCAGTACTTGGTGTATCCGTTTACGGGACTTTGGAGTATTATAAAGCTGTAAAGTGCATGTTGTGACCTTCTCCAGTGGAAACTGTGCTGTCAATAAGTGTTTCCCGTGATTCCAGGTGCACCTGATGAACCCTGAGAATGTACCGAAGCCGTGCTGTGCCCCCACCAAACTCCATGCCATCTCTGTGCTCTACTTTGATGACAACTCCAACGTCATCCTGAAGAAATACAAGAACATGGTGGTGCGTGCCTGCGGCTGCCACTGACAGCGGTGAAGGTCGGCCGAGCTTCACGTGGACACCGTTTAACTCTGCCCGTTTTTAATAATCACGGGGAACTTTGGAAGAAAATCCACCGAAACCTTAAATAAAACCAGGATGGCACAGTAAACAGCTGGATTTACAGTCAACTATCCTCCACTCCAGAGTTGAGAAACTTTGTTTAAGCCGACTTGAGCCTTCAACGGTCCATTGGGTTTATTAAAGTGTTTAAGGAGCTCAATAGGCTGCTGCACCCAGAAACGAGTGCATCTTCTCTTCAGAAATACAGAAGTTCTATTAACAAGACATTTCAATAATTACTGATTAATGACTTCTATGCTACTACAGACCCCCGAGGGCGACTCGGTCACCTGCTCAGCTGATGAAAAGCTGAGTCCAAATCCATTTCTCATTTTAGTGCAAATCCAAACAGAAATATGAAACATCGGAGTCAGTACATTCATATTTTCTTCTCAAGCCATATTTGCTTTCCCCAAAATATAATATGGACACAACCAAAGTGACCACAGACTATTTTAGCAGTGGACTGCTCCAAATAATGCCCTTCGTGTCAATATTTGCCAGTCTCGGGCCGAGCAGCAGCACCACGCACGCCGAGGCCAAGCTGGTGTTTTTTCTCAGAAGAACTGAAGAATATGAACTCTATCCCTGCCACACGCCACAGACGGCTGTGTCTGTGTCGCTGCACTTGCAAAGCTCACAAACCCTTCAGGCCTGACAACCCATCAACAGATGGTGGAAAAACATTCAGCGAGTCCAAAACAACCAGCAGGGTTTTGGTTAGCTTTCTGAAACGGGCGCTTTGCTTTTCTCAACCCTGAGAGTGAATTCATCCGTCCTCCCACCAGAGCAGGACGATACTGAGCCCTGAGTGACGTGGACTTGTATCATTACCTTCTGTGCCTAACCAATCCTAAATAAGTACATTATATACCTCTGGTAAGCTGCTGTTTACATTTGTGATCATGTTTTTCTGTAAATACTTGTACATTCTCAGCTTATTTATTGCACCTTTTATTGAAAAAGAAAAATATCACATTAACACACAAGAACAAAATGAAAATACAAACTTATTTTTACAAAATTTATTATGAAATCTTATGTTACAACTTGCCAATATTCACTTTTTTTGTACAAAACCTCTGGGTAGTGCACAACCCACGAAAAGAGAAAAAAACAACCTGTCACTGGACTTCATGGACCATGTGCTTTCTATAAAAACCTCTCCTGACAAAAAAAAAAAAAAAAAAGTCCTGCTGTGTCTCCTTTTGTGTACCGGACAGTAAATCGTGCCACGTATTTTATATAACATGGGTCAAAGAGCATTTAGAGACAGGCATGGCCCAACAGGTGGTGCTTTTTACTGCAACAAGGCTTCCTTCTGACAGATTTGAGCTCCCTCAGCTTTTAAAATGTTTAATCTGAGTTCATTTACTAGTGAGGGTGAATTAGTTACAGGTGTGGCTTCAATCAGGAAGCAGATAAACAAGAATGCATCCATGATAGGGTAAATCATAACAGCAGTGCAGCTGGTTTGAGGGGTTAAATGAGGGAACACATAAGTAGATGGTTCACCTGTTTGTAAACAAAGAAATGAAATGCGAAGGATTAAAATCACACAAGTCAGAAGTGACTGATCACCAAGAATCACCACCAGGTTCTGGTGGCAACATCAGTCCTGCCTCTTATAGTCGGCCTGGATGTTCCCTGAGTTTTATCAGATAGGCGATTAGCGGCGTGGAAACGAAATACCTTCACATGAAATCTCAGCGTCTCATTCGGAGTGGCTGTACTGCTGGATTAAGTCGGATTATATTCATCACATGTAACACTGAAGAGATCAGTAACAAAATCAGGAAGCGGAAACGCGAGCGCGTTTGAATGAAAAACACGTAGCTGGTTGTTATTATCCAACCAGTGATCATACAATCTGTAGAAGATGCCAGGCTGGGAAACAGCAAAGAGAATACATTCCAAACACACACTTCTGTCCACCAATCACAGAAGATACAATCAAACACGAGTCTTTCATTGGCTTCAACTCCTGAAAGGGAACAGAGAGAGAAATTGAGAAATGAAGATATGGCTGCTGGAGGAGACCCCCCACAGGTCAGCTCTGTGGCCGGGGCAGGTGGAGTGGTGGGCTCTGATTGGCTCGTTTTTATAGCTCGTCTCTCGCCTGCTTCATCACAAAGTTATGAAGGCTTTCCAAGTCCCGCCCACCGTGATGCTCATCACCCTGCTCTCCTGCTCTGAATATGATCAAAGTGGGGTAACCTCGCACCTGAGGAACGAGCACAAAAACACCATCAGGGCTTCAGTCAGCCCTCAGGGCTACTGCAGGTTTTCAGTCGAATCTAAACTTCACAGCAGCTGTAATGTTTTTATGACGGGGACATAAACTCATCCTGGTGTTGTTACATCACGTGGAAAAGGGGTGACTGGAAGGTGAGGGACACTTACAGAGTACTTGTTGCAGAGCGTGCGCTCCACGGTGCAGTCCACTTTGGCGATCTTGACATCAGTGAGACCCGGAAAGTCCTTGACGGACAGATCCTCCCAGGTTGGAGCGAGATTCTTGCAGTGGCCACACCTAAACAGCAGGAAACCAGTCATCTCACTGGTCTAATCAGTATTTAAACATTTAAATTAGACATGTTGGGTCACTAAAGCTCCAACGACTGAATTTTTCCTTCTATTCTTACCACGGAGCGTAGAACTTGATAAAAGTGAAGCCTTTTGCTACGGTCTCGTCAAAGTTGCTCTCTGTCAGAACCAGCACACCGGACTGCAGACAGAAGAATGAAAATGTCCAGTTTCTGCTCCGTGTTGATGAAACATCTCATTTACACAAGGATTACACAACAGGGACACATTTATTGGCTGATCCAGCCAAGATGAACAAAGAAACAGAGACCTTCGCTGAAATGCTATCAGCTCTAAGGGCTCGACACATAAACCCCCTCATGGACAGCTCAGCAGGTGTTCAGAGATTTATCCTACATGTGTGTTCTGGGCATGTTCCCTCCCCGTTTCAGCTGTTCATGTTTCTCCATATTTATGTAATGAAACTTTTAACTAAAGGCGAAACAGCAACTGTGTTTGCAGTCTAACTGGTTGATCTGGAAACTTTTATAAACCAGCAGTGACCCACCAGCACTGCAGAGAGTGGCAGCAGTGACAGGAAGTAAACACAAGATCAGTCTGCTATAAACTAACTGCCTCGGTAAAGGTTAGCGAAAACACACGCTGCACCTCGGAGGTCAGCAGTACAGTGTGGGTTTTGTGGTTTACACATCAGAACAAGCAGCTTTTCACATCCGTAAGACACACCCACCTTTACTTCCTCTTCGGCAGGCTCCTCCACCGGGATCTCGTTAGCTTTTTGTTCCTCTGCTGGTTCGTGATCGTGCTCCTCGGAGAGGACAGCCTTCAGCTGGGTGTCCACAAACTCTTTGAAAGAGTCCAGGTCTCTTTTTCCTTTATATTGCTCTGTCTGCACAAACAAATCTCTAATCATAGCTGGAAACGATGCATCTGATTACAACAAGTAACCATACGAGGGTCCCTAACCTTAACCCAAGGACACTGAAGCTATTCTGAAGTTTAATTCTTTGATGTAATCCTGAGCGCTGACAGACTAAGATTAAATAAAAAATCTGCTCCTGTACCTTTTGTCCGTTATGGAAGAAGAGGAGTGTGGGGTATCCTCTCACGCCGTTCTCAGAACACACCTCGTAGTGCTGAGTGCAGTCCACCTGGGCCACAAACACACACACACGCACACACACACACCCACAACCACACACATTATAACAACGACAAGAGCAAACACTGTTTAATGACTGTGTGTGAAGCTACTTATATGAGCAACATCCTGTTCCATCAGGTTACAGGAAACACTGAAACATCAGCATTAAATATTTAATCTGTGGTACTAATGAGCCAGATACACGGGGTAAGTAAAGTAATAGATTACTGCACAGGGATTAACCACCTTTCCTATCTTGACATCATCAGAGTGCTCAAGGGAGGTGGCGAGCTGTTCCCACGTTGGCGCCATGGCTTTGCAGTGACCACACCACGGGGCAAAAAACTTGATGAAGTGAGAACCTGAATGAGAAGGACAATCCCTGAAAACCCAACCAATCAAAAGACAAAACCGTAACCCAGGTTCTGATTTTTAACCATTACTTTAAAGTGTTTAACTGCAGTAAAAGCGAATGAACCCGTTCTACAGCACGGTTTAATGCATCGCTGTGGCCAGAATGAGAAACTCTTATGTCATATTCAGCGTTTTTATTCATATGCAAACAAGAAAGCTAAACATTCAGCTCCAGAGGAGCGTAACTGTAACTCCACTGAGACACTTGTTGTGAAAGCTGTTAATTTTCAGAGTCAACATGTCAGAGCCCAGAAAGCTGAGGTGAAGACACACATGACTGTCACAGGTGGTTCATGTGGACACACCTTCTCGATCGTGTCGGTTATTCAAATGAAGTGTTTCCATTCTCTAGTGGAGATGCAGAAACAGGACCTGAGTGTGACTGAAAACTGAAAATTCATTCAAATATGGGACAAAAGCGAAACTCCTGTTGTTTCAGCAGGTGCATACACAAATAAGATCCTCACCTTTAGAGATGTGCTCCTTAAAGTTGCCGGCAGTGAGCTCATACAGGCCCTGTTTGGGCTCGGGGGCTTTTGGAGGCTCCAGCTCACTCTCTGGTTCCTTTAGGGCATCCAACAAAAAACATGAGGAACATTCCTGGTTGTAAAACACATGTTTGGAGATTTGAGCTGATTAATGAGTAAAACAAGACTCACTGAAGGCTCCTCCTGGAGTGTCTTTAGCATCCACGTCTCCAAAGACTGCAGATCTCTGGGACCTTGATACTTTACAGCTTCATGCTCTGGCTTAAACAATTTTAACCTACATTTAAAAACAGACCAGAAGAAAAGGTGAGACTATTTAAGGAAAGAGTAACTGATTCGGTTCAGTAAGTTCTGGAGAATCACAAGAAAAGTCAATCATTCATGGTGTTTGAGTGAAGTCAGCAACAAGAAAGGAGAACGGGCTGTTAAGATAGCAGATATGTAAACTAATTATGTTGATCTTTAATTAAAACTATGACCTGTCCACAATCTGACAGGCTTTTAACCTGAGCAGTTATCCCTTATTCCCTTATTTAATGAAGACTTTCTGAATGTTTATTTTTACTGTGATAAAGAACAGTAACAAACATGGGCTCACAATTACTGAATCTTAGCTTTACTGTGGGAGGATTTACCAACTCCTGATTGTTAGTAGACCTGATGTGACCAAACAAACAGGTAAAGTAGTCATTTTAAAGGCTAAGTTGAAAATATTTTGCATGCATTGTGGCCTGAAGTTCATGAATAATAAAAAGTTTATTCCTTTTGTGATAATCCATAAGTTTAGCAGCTTCCAGTAAAACAGCCACTGCTCTGTGTTTATGGACCATCAGATATGGATCAGAATCAGAAACAACTTTATTTTCATTGCCCCAGCTTCCTGGAGCATAACAATGTGTCTCTGCAAGACAGCCTGACCAAGATTAGACACACAGACATGTAGAACAAAAACAGATACAGGCAGGCATTAGTTCTGTCTACACTGGCACTGTGTGTGTGTGTGTGTGTGTGTGTGTGTGTGTGTGTGTGTGTGTGCGTGTGGCTGCAGACATAACCCAGTTACTTACGTGGGATAGCCTCTAACGCCGTGCACATTGGAGCAAAACTTGGTGTCCTGGACACAGTCTACCTTTACCACATATACTGGGGGGTCGTTCATACTGTTGTACTTGTCTGCCAGTTCATTCCATGTAGGCTGGAGTCGCTGGCAATGGCCGCACCTGGAAACGGTAGTAAACACTGAAATCTCACTCTGTTGAAAACCTTAACAGATTACACTTTAGCTGAAGTATGAACTGTCTGATGATGCATTGTGCAAACCTGTGAGAACTCGGACCCGTTAAATGGAATTCATTTGGAAATGACATGATCTGTGAGATTTGTGGATCAAAAATGTTGTTTGCAGCTGTGTAAATTTCTTATTGACCTGTACACTAAATGCAGCCACCCACATTAACCCTGGTCGCCAGAAAAAGTTACCCTTTGCCATCTTAAACTTGACCTAATGATGCAACACTACTGTCTTGGACAGTTGCATAGGTCGGGACTTTTCTGAATTACGGTTTTGCATTTCATGGACAATATTGGATACACTGCTGACAACGCTGCAACACAAAACAACCTGTAACTCATTCACAGAAGATGCAAAAATGATGCAAAACACTGGCTATACCTTTATTAAATGTTAGTTCATAGTTGGTACTCTTCTGGTGGCCGTGCTCAGAGCATCAGGACGTTTACAGCGTTCGACATAAATCCTCTTTAGGTCTCTACACTCAGAACGTTCACCAATTTCTACTTCAGGTAAGACCATGATCAGTAATTAGTAGTTCACAAATTTTACAAAGGAAAATGTGTTGACATTAGTAAAAGAATGAAGTGTGTTTTTCTAAATTGTGTCAAAAACCACATAATAATGCAACAATTTACAGTTTGGGATGAAGAGACAAATCAAATAACAGTGATATAAACTTCTACCTACACTAGTTACAGCTCTTTATTGTGAAGGGCCTTTGGGGGCCGTGGACCACAAATTGAAACCAATGACATAACGGGTCAATCAGCGCGTGCCACGTAAGCGTAACTTCCACTTTAATTTTGTGCTCGTATCTCTTAATATTTCTACCCAAAGCAAAAAGTTTGCACAAAAGCTGTTTGAATAAATACCGAACACAACTAAAAATACACAAAAGCTTCCAGAAATAGCACCTAAACAACACACAGAAGTTGCTAATACTCGGCTAAGCTAGTTAGCAGCGAGGCTAACCGGACTGGTTGACTTTAAAGGGATTTAGGTAACCACCTAGCTTACATGCTAATTAGCCAGTTTGCCGGTAAGCTCGTTTAGCAGTGTTGTACGATCTGTGTTGTGGTTTTTCGTGCTTAGATACATCGCTTAAAACACATTAATGCTATCTTCAATGATTTCAAGAAACGTCATTTTAAATAAACCTAATGTTGGTCACTTACCATGGAGCGTAAAACATGACAAAGTGAGGTGCAGTGGGCACCGCCTCGTTAAACATCTCCACCGTGTACGTGTGCTTGGCGTGCTCATCTTCTTCTGCTTCCCCATCGCAAAACACACCAGCAAACAGTAAGGACAAATAAAGAAAACACTTTAAAAAAGGTATACAGTTCGATGTAGCAGCCATGGTGGATGTCGCTAAGTGATGCGCGTCCCCGCCGGTGTAGAGGGCTGACTTTTGAACAGACACGCCCCCTTAGAGCCTAAGTTTAAAGCTATAAACAGTCTAGATGAGTTGTATGTACTGTGGTCGTCGGTGTGCGTACAATCAATATGTTGTGAAGATCTACGGTCACATGAAGACCCTAGTTTCTGTGGTTCTGGATGACAAGTTCAAACAAATCTGTTATAAAAATGTCAGTTTTCATCAGTAAAGAAAAGTTCAATCACTCTTGATGAAGATTATTTAACAAAATGAAGATTAGCTCCAAAAATAAATGTGTGTGCTGTACAAAATCTTTGCCAGTGCAATGAAACCCTATTGTGAATTATAAAACATTAGGATTAAACTAAGAGATGAGGCATGCATGGCCTTTTCCCCACCATTTCCAATGTTGTGATCAACATCCAGAATGTAGACAGGCCATGAAAAATAATGCAAAAATATTTTTGGAATTAAAAGAAAAGCACTGACATAATTCATAAAAATATTACAAATATTAATTTCTTCTAATACCTTAGTTTTTCACTTTGTAAACACTTCCTCATCTTACAAGAGTCAGACTATACTGGATACAAGAACAAACCTCCCAAGGCAGCCTTTTGCAATGGTGCCATTTTATTCGGCAACAAATGTCAAGTATTTTTTTTTTACTTGATTTCATTCTGTTACACTTGTGCACCTAAGATAATGTCACACAGTGAAATTTGATTTCCATCCTCTGGCTTGTAAGACAAAATTAAGTTAGAAACAAACACAATATATTAATCAAAACACTGAATAAAACTAGGCAATATAATAAAAAATAATCAAACAGCAGTCTGTCAAACAACAGATGGAAAAATGTAAAATAAATTGAGACAGTTTAGCCTGTCTAATTTAGAAAACAACAGTATAAGCTAAAAAAGGTGAAAATGAGAAAAATGTGTAAAATTATGAGCAATAAAATTATTTCAAAGACTTTAAGCTTTTATTAGGAGTCTATGTACAAACTTGAGTTAGGACTGAGGGCTGCTGTTAAACATTTTCACTCCTCTAGACACAGACAAGCCTGTGGTTTTCCAGAGAGAGGAAGTGGTGGGTTGCCTGTGCCTGAGTGATCAGTCTGGTGGTTCTGGCTGCAGAAATGTAGCATCTCTCTGATGGAAGCTGCACAGCTTGTGTTGTGGGTGGTTAGAGTCCTTGATGATGCGGTTGGTCCTCCTGAGCGCTACTGATGCACTCCAGAACAGAGAAGGCTACCTGTTGGTTTTTTCTTATGTTGTTTTGACCATACCACTTTATTTATATGGCACATTTAAAATACAGCGTGAGAGCTGACCAAAGTGCTGCACAGTGACCAATTGTTATGGAGCCTTGTGACCTCATACTGAACTGCTCCCATGCAAAAATTGATAGAAGATACTCTCAGGTGTGCTTGTTGGTAAAAAGGCTCGGCATCTCAAATTTCCTTTTCAGAAAACAAAAATGCTCATTGGTCACTGATGCTGGGGAACCAAGAGTGTTCTACCAATGTCTGGAAACAAAAAAAGGTAGAGCCGCATGTGCGGAACTCTGATTCACGTACTTAAGATTATTGTTGGGAGAGAAATAATAAGTTTGGAACAATGATCAGAACATCAGCAAAGCATCACAGTAGTTTCCTAAACAAAAAGATGAAGCTTCATAAAAACAGACATGTTGACTTCACCTGTTGAAATAAGCACATGGTCATGGTGACAAAAGAAGTTTTCTAAATGAACACGAGTCAGTGTAGCCTCCTCATCATCAGATGCTCTGAAATGACAACTCATCTCATGGGAGCATTGCAGGACGTTGGCAGGGCTCATAAATCATGCATCTTTTCCCACAGCAGCATGTGTGTGTGTGTGTGTTTTCCCCGAGTACAAAGCACCTGCAGGCATGCTGAACTGACAGCTTTTTGGAAAGTCTTATAGTCATTATTTCATGAAGCCCAATGGAGCCAAGTTTCTAATTAGAAGTGCTTCTCTTTAATCAGCCTCATCCTGGACAACAGGAAGAGGAAGAAGTTACTGCACATGAACATCCAGAGGAGTAGCCTGCAGAACCTTTTAATCCAAAAAGTCAGAGTAGAAGTAGTATGCTAGCATGCAGAGCCCCTCGGACTATGATCAGGCTGATGTGCACCATATAAAATATCAGTATTGACCCTCTGGAGGCAGGCGTTTCAGATTTGCAACGTTAAAACCTACCTACTTGGTTACTCCACGTATTTCATGAGTATTTTTTAACTCAGAAATACCCATGAAGGACTTAGTTGTTCATCCTTTTGTCAAAACTTATTTTGAGCCTGAGAGGGTTAAACAACAAATTCATAGGAGATGCAGTTTAATTATGTGAAAAACATCCAGTCTGTGACAGAAGTTGCTTCATCTTATCTTGATCTTTAACTTTTGGGTTGAAATGTTATGCCTTTGAGGAACCTGAAGAAATGTGGAGTTCTGCAGAAGAAAAACAACCAACTAAAGGTCAGCAGTCTGCAGAAACTGATTGTTTTTCACTTTTTTTAACATTTGGCTTCTGAGGACTTCAATCTGGGGTTCAAAAAAAGTTTAAATGGCTCAATTTAAAAACAACCTGCCTCAATAAGTAGTGAAAACACACACACACACACACACACACACACACACACACACACACACACACACACACACACACACACACACACACACACACACACACACACACACACACACACACACACACACACACATATATATGAATATCTGCAGCCAAATAGAACGGAGTGTCAGCCTTTTCTATTTAAATAATACAAATTTTAAAACTGTCACAGTATTACAAACACATGCCTCAGAATATTTATCATGGAACTTTCAGGGTGCTGGAATGCAGGTTTTGGCTGTTTTTCACACATAGGAATGAGGTCCACATGTTGCATGAAGGTGTTCTTTCACACATTCTCCAGACGGCATGAGGATTATTTGAGAGATGCAGTTTCACAACTGGAAATACTTTGCAGTTTGCTGTAGAGCTCAGGAAGCAGGACATCATGCAAATGCACATTCTGTTTCTCTGACAGCACAAAGTGGAGTTGCCAAGTACTTGTGCATGATGGAGATTGCTTTCTGTGTTGATGCAAATTTGACTTGCATGTTCAGTTTACACAAAATTATGAGTAATGAAGTTTTTAGCAGCTAATAATTAAAACCTGACAAGAAAAACTCACAGAAACCTGTTGTCAGGGTGAATGAGTGACTTTACCTTTTTTGGGTTGATCTTTTCCACATAAATATGCGTTTAGAAATGATTTCCATGTTTCTGAGCTGTGCAAAACTAAATGAATGGTGGCCAACACAAAACTCACATCACACTTTGGAAAAGAAAGCAAAACGAGCATACCATAAATCTTCAAACGTCATAATATTTCTATGAAAATTTCAACACCTGTGTGTCTCGTGGAGTAAAAATACAAACTGAAAGCTGCCTTGAACATTTTAATTCCACCCCACAGGTGTTTCTGACCGTTATGACTGCTCTAATTATACTCCTGCCCTGATTTAGTCCAATGTGCTGACACAAAGGTGTGGGCAGCATGGGAGCTCCCACCCACTAAAGTTTATTTGAGCTGTCATTTCTAAAAATTGTCTCAAAGCAACAGGTCACACCTTTTAAGGTAAGATTCAGTGGAAAGGTCATTTACGATTAATATCACACATTTAGGCGTTTGAGCTAGGATAAACAGACATTTAAACTGAGCTAATAATTAGCATGACAAAGTGGATTGTTGTTATCTTATAGACTCCAATCTATGAAGGTTTAATCTTTTTTACTAACCTGCATAATCGTGTCAGTTATTCATTACAGAGGTTTTTCTGCAGAAATATAAAGACATTCCCACTCAAAGCATTCCAGGCAGCACAGGAAGTCCTACAAAACAACCAGATAGTCACAAAAGTACAGTATATAATTAAAATATAATTTCTATCTACTTAAAACATCTGTAACTAAAACAATATGTATATGTATATGCAGAACTTGCTATGGTTTATAAAATACAGTGTTTGCTTAATCTACTATCAGAGAACTGAGGTTAGCGTTGTTAAATACAACCATTTCTTTTTTAAACTGGACCTGTTTAAGATAGATAGAAGTTTGTTCAGATGCCCTCAATTTCTCCAAGCTGATTTGGCAAAAACTGTCTAATTATGCGATAATTTATGTGGAAACCAATGCTTATTTGCAAGCACTAATAATGCCATTATCATAGAATAACTGAGAAATACAATTTTTACAGTTTTTAAGATTTTACTTGTTTTCAGATGGTAGCAAGTCATTTCGGTCTTAGCTCTCTTCAAGTGTTAGATCATCAGTCTGGTCAATACTCATCTGGTTCGTCAAACTGAGGAAATTTAAAGAGTTATCTAGGTAAATCCTAGTTCACATGGCAGGACTTGTTTGGTGATTTTAAAAGCATGAGAGATCACACTCGTGGTGATAAAAAATAAAGAATATACTTGTTCTGGTCATATAGTGTGTGGCAAAATGTAGACACTACACACAAATCGATTTCACACACAGCCATTCACCACTCAGAGGGAAAATCTTGTGAGATAAAATGTGACTTTGGAGTAAACGACCACAGCGTAGAGCGTTCTTCTATCACCTTCTTTCTGATTGGCTAGATGTTATGTTCATGTAGCTAATGTGTGTGTGTATGTTTGTCTTTGATAATCAGATCAAGACAATCCAACATGTTTCAAAGACTGAATTTATGATCGGATCAGTCCCAACACTCTTCTGAGCAGACCAGTGCATTCTTAAGACACCACACAAGTTAGGATAAGATTATCTTTAGAGATAATAATGTTATTCGTTTGCATCCTTAAGATTGTTGGGAGGAGAGGATCTAGTTAAAAATCAGCATGATTATCCTGCCATGTGGTCTGGGCTTTAGATATCAAAGTGTAGTTTTTTTACCAATAAAGTCTGGAAACAACAACAACAAAACGTTGTTGAAAATAAATAAAATGATGTCCAGTTGTTGAAAAATAT